CCTTTAGAAATTTGCCAGTTTTGGGATTTCAAACTTATTTATTCTAAGTGTCAGAGAAAAAAACACTCAGAAACAGGAAAGAGAAAACACACACCAGGAAGGTTAGAGAAGGAAAGAGAAAGAGGAGAAAAAGGGGTTAAGGATGGCGGTTTTTCAGGGGACTAGGGTAAGAGAGGAAAAGAAGAACACAGCTCCCCACCATGTAAGTCCAGCCCATTAATATAATTAAGCAAAATTTGCTTCTTTGTTCCAAATAATTAGCACTTTGCCTCCATTTTATTTATTTTACTTATCGCTACTAATAAGAAAGCACTAAGTGTGAAGGCATAAGCATTTTTTGGAGACACATGAGGTGACACAAGAGTCACGAAACTTCTTTAAGAATAAAGGCCTAATGTTAGGCATGTCGTGGGTGCAAAACCAATTTCTGTGTAACTAAATTTAAAAGAGTCACATTAGAGGAAAGAAGTGGAAGACAGGCTGCAAAATGTAAACAAAATGATTACTTAGGTGATAGAGTTGTGTCTGATTTTTGTATTTGACTCATCTGCATTTATAAATTTTATTTAATAAGCCTTAACTTCCTAGGCCATATATCCTATACACCTAACTTATAGGTATTATAATACGTTATACATACATAAATGTAGGTTTATATATGCCTGTGTGTGTGTGTGTGTGTGTGTGTGTGTGTGTGTGTGTTCGTGTCTGTGTGTATTCTTTCAGAAAAGCAAAGTTTTCTTTGGGCTTTAAACATGCAGCCTCTGGTAAAGGTGCTATCGGTACAAAAGTTCAACAAGCATAGCTCCAGGTTTCGAAGATTTTCTTACACTTTTCTAAAACTGCTGTCCAAGAACTAAGAGATTTTCAAAACAGCCAACACTGCAGTCGTGAAGTGGTTAACAACAAGGGAGAGAAGGGTGTGGTCTGAGGTTAAATAAATGGTATTTCAATCTTGATTCATAAATTTTCTCCAAGGAAGTTTCTAAAAAAGCCCAAACAGTACATTATTTCTGAAAGGAACAGAAGGATTTTTTTTTCTAATCATAAAATAGATGCAGACATCTCAGCCTTTTTCTTTCGTCTCTTGGTGTAATCTGGATAGTAGATGCAATCAGCAAACAGCCTGAGTTTTGGAATTAGATCTGCGGTCAATCCCAGATCTGCCGTTTACTAGCTGTGTGATCTTGGCTGAGTTACTGACGCTCTCTGAACCTCCTTTCGCCATCTGTAAAATGGGGATGTGGTCACCTTCTCCACTACATGGTTCTCGTAAGAATCCACTGAGACCACATTTGTAAACACTTCTCTCGCTATACCTGACACTTGTTGGGGCCCAATAAATAAAAATTCATGGACTCTCAGAGGCTTCGGAACTCCAATGAACCTCTGGGATCCATGTCCCGTCGATAAGCCATCTACAAGCTGCCATCTCTCAGCAAGGGACTTTCCAAAACAGGCTGCTCAAGTTACTTGGCCAGTAACAGTCCCCGGGTTCTGTGCGGTGGGAACCGGTACCACCAACCCCAGCGGGAGACCAAGCAGAAACTACCATGGGAATGCAGGTCAAGCAAGGGAAAATGGGAAAGAGAAGGACCGAAAAACAAAACAAAATAAAACCACTCAGGCAATGACCTACGTCTTAAGGAGAGGAATTCCCAGAAGGGAAACAAGACGGTTTCTTTTTCTAGGTGACAATAAAAAAGATAAACAAGCCTCCAGAAGCTCATTCAGCCCCCATATAACTTTTACCAGAAAGAAACGGTGCGGTTCTTCCGAGCCCTCAGGTTTAACCACTGCCTTGAGGCTGACTTATTTCCTAAGTCTGAGAACTGCCAGAAAATGAGCATTATGTGCTCTGAAGGCTGCAGGTTCTCTCCCCGCCCCCGCCGGGCGGCGCGCACTCACCCACCCACCCGGGTCGGAGCAGACCTTTGGCTTGGCTTGCCAGGGCTTGTCTGGGAGTTGCGCTCCTCTCTCCGGCCAGGGTCCCCGTCCAGCCACCCTAAAGCTTCCCAAACTCCCGCTTCAGTTCCTGTCCGTCCCCCACGCCCACCTGTACGTGGAGCACAGTGGTCTCCGAGGAGCACCGGAGCTGCCCTGTCTGCCCCGCGGGGTCAGCATTTTGCGTCCACGCCCAAGAAAAGTGAGTCCTGCAGCTTTCAAAGCACCGGCAGAGGAAGGTCCCAGCAGCCCCCGGAAGCCGGTCTGTCCGACCCTCCCACCCAGCCCGCCGCTCCCAGACACCGGCATGCGCCGCAGCCCCGCACGTGCCCCGCACCTGCCCCACTCTTTGCCTGTCGCCGGGACTAGCACCCGGTAAGCCTCCACCCGGGCTGGAGACGGCTCACCAGAGTTAGGAGAGTCCAGAGGCCCAGCATGGTTGTGGAGCAGTCCTCCGAAGTGAAAGCGCCTCTCCAACTCCGCGCCCAGCCGGTCACCAACGCGCAGGCCAGGGCTGGCCTCGGGGTGTATTCAGTGCCAGTGCCCGCCCCCGGCGCCCCGGCCAAGTCACTGGCAAACCGCTTCCCTGACTCCCCAGAAGCGTCTTTGAACACCTGTGTGCCACTCTTCCGCGAGATCAGAGCCGAGCTCACGAAAAGCCCCAGTGGTCGTGGTCGGGAGGATGGGAAGGAAGCCTCGCTGGGGAACGCCCGGTTTGGGGAGGGCTCCCTTGATTCAGCAACTTGGCCTGCGTGGGATAGGAAGGGGGAGAAGCCAGGGGAGTCAGGGTTTGTTGCATAAATGGGCATTCCCCGTCCCGGGGCGTTTCCGCGGTGACTGGCACGCTCAATTTAGGTGACGACCCTGAGATCCTGCCTGCTGCCTTTTCTTTTTTATTTCTATTTTTATTATACTTTAAGTTCTGGGGTACATGTGCAGATCGTGCAGGTTTGTTACTTAGGTATACACGTGCCAGGGTGGTTTGCTGCATTTATTCCCATCATCTACATTAGGTATTTCTGCTAATGTTATCCTTCCCCAATCTCCCCCCCCCCCTGCTATCCCTCCCCTAGCCCCCCCACCCCATGACAGGCCCCGGTGTGTGATGTTCCCCTCCCTGTGTCCATGTGTTCTCATTGTTCAACTTCCACTTATGAGTGAGAACATGCGGTGTTTGGTTTTCTGCTGTTGGGCCAGTTTGCTGAGAATAAAGGCTTCCGCTATAGTTCAACCTGGGAAGGTTGGGGAGGTCTTGAAGGAGAATGAAGCTCAGAGCACACAGGTCCTGCCTGGGTGCAGGAGGCTTGGCTAATTGCTGGAATCAAACAGAGGAAGACTTACAGGGCATTTGACTGGGCTGTCCATGTTGTGGCTGCAACGTGAGAGGCTCGTGGTTGTTCCTGAATAGTGTATGGATGGACAATTAACCATATGAAAAAGGACAGATATTGCACCACAGGGTTTTGAAAAGGGAGGGCCCCTTAGTCTTTATTTCTCAAGAGGGAAACAAGCTAACAACTTAAGGCAAATCGCACAGCCCCAGCTATATTAAACAGTCACGATTACTTCCTGTCCTTCATTACTCATTATTTCCTGGCCAATTTCCTTAAAAAAAAAAATCTGTAATAAGTTCTCTGGTGAACACTGTTCAAAGTCACTATTGTTTTGGAAAAGTAGATAGCTCTTAGGTAGTTTTGCATGAATTTTATAGAAGATATGTTTAGATAATGACATCATTACTGAACCTGAATTTGGAAGCAGTTCCAGACTGGACACAAGGAAGGCTTCAATATTCCTTTGGGCCTCCTCCAGCAAGCTCTGCATCTCACTCTGCTGCCTCTTTGCCTTCCCAATTAGATTCAATCCATTAATAACACATTCATAACCCTTTGCTACTTGGCCTGCTGTTCATCCTTCAGGCTTCCTCTTAGTTGATATTTTGTTCTGGAGCCTGTTCAGGTCCTCAAATCTAGGTTAGGTTACCCTGAGTGCTTTCCACCACCCTGCGTTTTGCATCATCTGTCACTGCACTTACCTCCGGTCTTGTAGATATTGATTGGCTTGTCTCTGTCCCACCTTTCAGTAGACTGTTAGTGCCATGAGGAGGACCCTGGGTATGCCAGCCTTGTGCACATATTCTGAGCATCTAATAGACAAAAAAAGAAGTGGGATAGGGAAGATGGTATATGGGCATTCTCTGCATTATCTTTGCAACTTTTCTGAAAAAACTATTCCAAAATAAAAAGATCATTTAAATTAAAAAAAAATTATAAAAAAAGGAAGGAAAAAAGGTGGGAGGGAAGGAAAGGAGAGGTAAGGGAAGAAGGAATGGAAGAAAGGAAGAGAGAATAAAAGGAGAAAGGACAATTGACAAAATCAATTACCTCTTGAGGGTGAATTATAAGCCAGCAACTCGCACATACTGATCTTCCGTACTTAATACTTATCATTATAGCCCTGTGAGGTGATTATTAAATTTACTTTACCAAAAAAAAAAAAAAAAAATGTAGCAAAAAAAGCTTAAGCAACACTGGCAAAGTTGGTTAGTTAATAAATAGCAGAGTCAGGAATTAAACTTAGATATTCTTGCTCCCAAGGCCCTGCTCTTTCTATGCCATGCCCATTTCCCCCACCCCCACCCATGTATATCTAATTATCCTCAAGTTCAGTGAGACAGAAATCGGTGCTTTGTGGGGAGAGATATGTTCCATGGTCAAATAATCTTAGAAAATTCTGAGTTAATTTAATTTGAAAAGTTTCCTAACTCAAAATTTCTCAGGGCCTTTAATATGCTATCATCAAAAGGAGGAGTGTAATGATATATACTGTTCCCCAGACTTCTTTGTCTATGGAACTCTTTGAAGAATCTATTGAATGAACTCCTAATGAATGCTGGTATTCTGGAGAAAACAATTTGGGCATCTCTGAAGTTTATTTTAATTTTACCAGCATATTTCTGAGAGATCTTAGGCCTTCAAGGGCAAAGAAATAAAATTGTAATAACGAATTTGAGGCACTCCACCAGATGTTAGAGATATTTCACACAACCATCCTCATTCAAACCATACCATATAAGTTAAAGCTTGTTTCTTTGACTCAAAAGATACCTTGGTTTCTGAATATTCTGAAAAACATTTAAACAAATATCTGACTATGTAAAAACTGGGAGGGTTAAAAAACAAAACAAACAAACAAAATCGTCTACATCTTTTTACCATTAAGACTTTTTTTCCTTTCCTCTTTGGACCTAATGTTTAAAAAATTGTTGTCAACCAAATTGCTTTTACTAAATAGGAATAAGTTGATTTTAATAACTCCCAACTATAGTGGATATCCATGATTGTTTATCCTGCCTTTCTCCTTCTTCCTCCTGCTAATAGTATTTCCAAGTTGCCTTTAGAAAAACTGTCCCTCTCCCTTCTTCTTAACTATTTGATGTGAGTGGTTTTTTCAGAGTTCTTTAGAGAAACAGAACCAAGAAAATGAATAGGAAGAAGATAGATAGATAGATAGATAGATAGAGATAGGCATCGGCTCATGAGATTGTAGAGGCTGGCAAGTCCAAAACTTTAGCATTGGCCAACAGGCTGGAGACCCATGAAAGAGTTACAGTTCAAGTCCAAAGGCAGTCTGCTGGCATAATTCTCACTCTCACGGGGGAAGTCAGTCTTTTTTTTTTTTTTGGCCTTCAACTAATTGGATAAGGCCCATTGACATTATAGAAGGCAAATGTTTTACTCAAAGTGTAATGATTTAAATGTTAATCCCATCCAAAATATAGCTTTACAGAAACATCTAAGACAGTGTTTGACTAAATGGCTGAGTACCATGGGCTAGCTAATTTAATACATAAAATTAACCATCACAGTGGCATTGTTAGCAATCCTAAGGCTTGGGTATAGAAGTAGGTGGAAGAAGGTAGTGGATGGGAAATATGACTTGGCTTAAGCCAATCAGCACATCACATTCAGTTGGAGTAGATCTTGGGAACTTTACTGGAAAAACTTGGACACAAACACTTTCTTTTCCATTGCATTTGAAGTAGAAATATGTGAGATGTGAAACTGATGTGGTTGGTTGTGAAGGGAGCTTGTGGCCCTGCCAGAGCTGAAAGCAGTCAACTCATGCTGAGAGGAAGCCACACTGAGAGGAAATCATGCTGAAAGATAAAGGTTGGTAGAGCCATCCAAGTTCTGGATGCATTTAATTGAACCCTGGACCACCCATAGTTACCCAACTCTACAAATTCTCAGTGTTTACTTAAGCCAGATTCTCACAACTGAAAAAATCTTAACTGATAAATTATCAGAACTTTGATCAGTGTAATAAATTTTTTGTTACAAAAGTGAATTGTTACAAATTAGCTATTCTAGTTTCAAGTTCAAGTAAGGACAATTGCCTAAACAATTCTATAGACTGCTATCTAAGGACATTACTTCTTCTACCAAAGAATTTTTCTGTCACTAGAGGGCGTCAGAGCCCACAGTGGCCAAGTGACAAAATCTATTTATAATTGTTTCTACCAATTAATAGAAATACGTATGGGTTCTTGGGAAAGGAAGAGAGAGGAGGGATTCTTAGATTTGGATAGGTAATCTGTTAATCTAATCATATAGACATTTTCACCTCCCAGAGAACATATTTCCTACAGGATTAAAGAAATGATGTATGCAAAGCACTGAGTACACACAATAAATACTAATTTTTACTTTTACATTGCTTTTCCTAAATGGAGTGTTTTTACAAGACAAATTGATAATTTGGAGTCACAGTTCAGATGGGAAAAAAAGCAAGTTAAATGGCTTACAAGCACTTTTCTTGCACTACTTCCTTCCTGTACGACTTCCTGTACTTATTCCTTCCTGCACTACTTCCTTCCTGCACTACTTACTTCCTGCACTATTTCCTTCCTGTACTACTTCCATGCTTACATTCCTGAAGGCTGGGGCAGCACAGCTCTGGGAAAAGTGTCCTGAAGCCTAACCAGGGCTGGAAAGCTTGACCACCAAGATATGGAGCAAATTATTAAGCCTCCCAATTTTTCCCACTATAAAAACTGGTATACTAACCTGCCTCTTGAGCAATGGCTGAAAAAGACAATGCATTAAAGAATGTTTAGACTGTGGCAACTAAGAAGCAGAGAACAACTGGGTTAGTAGGGTGAAAACAGCTGTTCTGTGGGCCCTGGCTTCTTAATCCAGTTGAGTACCCCTCCCCTGACATTTTGGCATGTGGTGGTGCCCTGAAAACACAGATATTCTGTGAAACTAAACATGAGAAGCATGCCTACCCCCAGGTGTTCAGAACTGACACAAGGAAAGATAGGGACCACTTTTCTAGAGGTGTTGATTCGGAGCAGATAAGACTTAGTCCTGTGTGGGCTTCGCTTAAGGTGATGTTTCTTCAACCTCAGTCTACCTTTTGCCATTTCTGTAGTCTACTTGTATATACTAAATATATATTTAACTAATACGTATTTTTAAATAAACTTATTTTGTTCCCTAAGTCATTTTGTTTTTAAAATAAAACATTGCATTATAACCATAGATGGAAAATCAGCATTCCTTGCCAAAAATAGAAGCTATCCATAAAAATAAACATGCCACTATTGAAATAAAGTATTTGCCTGCATGCCAATAAAAATTGTTTCCCAAACTACTAGTGGCAAGGGCATTCTACTTCTGGAAAGGTTGGCTAGAGGCATGGCAGTGCCTTCTGTCTACTTTAGACTTCCTCCCCGCCCCCAAACAACCTCC